CCAGACACAGAATATGTCGGAAACTTTGAAACGCTAATCCGAGATAGAATGTCTTGGTCAAGCGGAACATTAGAGCAAATACACGGATGGCTCTAAATTAGGGGACAAAGTGGGCCTGGGGTTCTATATTGAAGACCCAGAAACAGAAATATACCACCGTTTACCTAATCTTAACACAAGCTTCCAGGCAGAAGTACGAGCAATAACGGAATGTGTAAATTGGATTAGAATAAATATGGCGCCCACAGGGCTTAATATATTTACCGATAGCCAGAAGGCAATTAGGGCGATATCAGGTGATAGAATTAAATCTAAGACCGTATTGGATTGTAAGAAAGCTTTAACTGAATACTCTCCCAGAGGTAAGGTTCACATCATATGGGTACCAGGCCACTCGGGAGTAGTCGGCAACGAAAGGGCGAATGTAATAGCTTTAAAGGGAAGGGAGCTTGATGTAGTTAACCTGACAAACGCAAAACCATTCGACGCAACAAAAAATTAATTAAAAACATGGATGAGAGAATCCCATAAGGCTTCTTGGAATAATGAAACGGTGGGTAGAACCACAAAGATTCTATGGGGTGACCCTGATGAGAGCAAGACGAGAAATCTCCTCAAAATGAGCAAGTCTGGGGTTAGTATGATGGTACGTATTCTGAGTGGGCCCACAGGATTACGTGCACAACTATACAAAATTGGACGTGCGGATTTAGACGAATGTAGAGCATGTGGAGAGGACAGTGAAACTCTGGAGCACTTTCTTTGCCATTGTCAGGCATTCGTCGAAGTTAGATCCAAGTATCTTGGAAGTGATGTTATTCCGGAAATAATATTCTTAAACAACACCGATTGGAAGATTCTTAGGAATTACGTCCAGGAAACTGAGTTTCTGAACATGGAAGAATAATTCATTCAGTGAACAATTTTTTTTTCATGAATTGGAGCGCACAACAGGCCCGATAGTGGCCTAGGTGTATTTCTTCGGATTTGATGTAGTATACATCCTCCTATCAACCTAACCTAACCTACCTTTCAAGTGATGTTCTATAGTAATTGTGGATTGTAATTTTTCTATGGTGGGAAAATTTTTACATTTTGCTGTGCCAAACGATGACTTTTCTTGCTGTGATAAATTTTGACTATTTTTACTGATTATTCCCGAAAATTTAACACTTCAAATAAAAATAAACTGTTTTTTCGTCCTTTATGAATTTTATATATAAATCTTTTTAATATGAAATGGATTTTCATATTAAAGTGTAAATTTAAAAATTTTTGTTTTTCATTTATTTTTTGTTTCGTAAATTTTTCATTTTCATTTGCCAGAAATTTATATAGCCCAATGAGCCAGTAAAATTTTATTCACCTCATATCTATCAAAAATTTACTTTTAACAGTATTGCTATCGTTTGGCACACACTCAAATTAATAAATATAATAATTAAACAATGGATAACAATGCTCTTAAGTTTTGATACACTCTGTTGGCACACACTCAAATTAATAAATATAATAATTAAACAATGGATAACAGTGCTCTTAAGTTTTGATACACCCTGTTTTTTTGAAAAACAAAATCAAATTGAAAGAATAAATATTTCTATTTTGCCTTTTAATTATGGTTGTGGTTTGAATTGGTTGCACTTTTATCCACGTTAAAATTAACTTACTTATGTAGCTAGAAAAGCTTGATGGGTCATTGTCAGTTGGAGCTGTAGCTGAATTTTTTCACACAATTTCATCGTACTTACATTGTGCTTTGACACATATTCAGACGAACCTACAAGAGGATGCTCTTATGATGTTAGATATACTGCTTCAGCATGTACCCCATTTGGTGGCTGTTCATAGTGCTAAAATTTTTCAACATTTCTTGGAAATGGTATGTTAGGGCAATTTGTGATAAAGCCGGACGCATGTTAACAGTGAATATGGGCCAAAGGCATACTACAATTAAATGACGTTTCAAGGTTTTGTTTTGTTTGCAACAAATGCACTTTGCAAACTTTGGTAGAAAACAAAAGAAGCTTGCGTGAAGATGCCTCAAAAGCCAATAACAACAACAGTAAATTTATTATATTTAGCACAAAAAAGGAACAGTACTAGCGTAATGTATCTGCATTATCCAATGAAATTAGTATCTGCGATGGGTCGGGACAATTACGTTCATACGTGGAACATGAGTCCGCAACAAGTTTATGATGCACGCACTATCGAAACATTGCTAAAACTTGATACAGCCATAACTTTGAAAATTGTTTTGGAAATTATTAAGAATTTATGGCCTCTAATAGAAAAATATGAAAAACAAGTGAACAATCATGATTTGAGTACATGTTTTAAAGATCAAAATACCGATATAATATAATTTCCCGACCCCATAAAATAGGTATATATATTCATGATCCTTATAGGTAGCGGAGTTGATTAAGCTATGTTCGTCTGTCTGTCTGCGTGTTTGTTGAAATCAGTTTTTAGAGGACCCCAGATCGGCGAAATCCGAATCTTCAATAATTCTGTTAGACATGCTTTCGAGAAGATCGCTATTTAAAATTAGAAAAATCGATCCATAAATACCGGAGATATGAGCAAAAATCCGAGACAACCTCTGAAATTTCATAAAAAAGACAAATTTTTTCATGCTTTGAGATATTAGCAACAACAACACTGCTTATTCATTGAGTATTTCGTTTCATATGTTTGGATGCCTGCGTGTTTCATTGACTTGTGTATATTGTTTTTGTTTCTTGGTGTATTCAGTTTCGTATGTTTGGATGTCTGCTGGTTTCATTGCATTGTTTATTTTGTTTTTTTTTTTGTATTTCGTTTCGTATGTTTGGATGCTTTTGGTTTTACTGCCTTATGTATTTTGTGTGTTTATTTCGTTTAGCGTTGTTGTTCATTTTGTTTTGCTATTACTATATTAATGATATAGTCGAGAAAATGAAATAAATTTAAATTTTATGAAATTGATATTTATTAAATACACTATGGTGAATGGCATATAAGATTAATAGTAATATAGTACTCTTACTTGTTTTATTCCTATTTTCAGAGGTAGTATTGCAAAATAGAAATATAGTTTATGTTTGTTTGTTTTAATTTTACGTTGCCCCCTTAACAGTATGATACCACTAAGGAGGGATTATTTGACCAAGTATTTTTTTTACTAAAATAGGACCTATCACGAAATTCGTAAAATCAAGCACTCAAATTCGTAAATTCTTTATTGAAAAAATTTCAGGATTTTTCTTATTAAAATAATATACTATTTACGAAAAACATTAATAAATATTCGCAGCATTTCCAAACAATTATTTTACTAAAACAATAACGCAAATTATTTGTATTTGTACTGAAATTCAAGCAATTATTTTATCTGAAACAGATAAATTATTTATTGTGTTTTGGCAATAATAATACACAAAATTCCTTTTGAATCTATAAAAATTTTGTTAAAAAATATATATTGAATTTTAACAAAAATTTTACTAATTCTATAAAATTAAAATTTGTAGAAAAAAGTACTTACATATATATATACCTACAACAATTTTATTTCACATTCTAGAAACTATTATTTTGTACTGTGAAAACTGAAACACATTAAATGCTATAAACCAAGTAAGAATTATATCAATTCATTTTAGTACATTCCAAAACTTGTTTTATTGTTGTATTCCATATGCTAACATATAAATAAAACTCAAACAAAAACATTTATTGAACCAGTAAAAATGTTTACTGAAAATTAAATTTATTTCAATAAAGTGTTTGTTAGAAAATATTTTCCTTCTGTGTGAAAATCAAACAAATTCGTTATAAAACCAAATAAAAATATTTATAAAAATCGAAATTAATTTTAAGCAAACGATTGTTAAGAAACAAATTTTGCCTATTTTTTCTGTTTACGTTCTTATAATCCGAAATTTAACGCCGATTTCTTAATACTTACAACATATACTTGAAAATTTTGATAACTCCATATATTTCCTTTAATTTAAACAGGTTTTTCAAATCCTCCGATTTCCAAAGTATACAAAAATGCTACTAATCATACCTTGATATACCCGAGACAATAACCATGTTTTATGGATCGGGCATTTTATTTGTTCTAGCAACAAATTAAGACGTATCCTTGTTCAAAATTGTTCAATTCGTATTCATACCACTAATTGAGTCTGATTTAATATAAAAATCTTATCTTATTTTGGACAATGACCAATTTCGGAACCGATATGTAGTGTAAGTTAATGACATGGTCACCATTTGACGATTATTGGTAGTATTTAGAAGTGTGTAATGGATGATTGGAATCAAAAAACTTGTTTTAATTAATGAAAACTAGTACAAGTATTAATAATTTCGCATTTTAAGAAATTAATTTTAGGAAATCCCCATTAAATATCGAATATGAACGCTATATCTTGTTAAAAACGGCAATGAAACGAAATTAATTGAAATTATTGTAAAGAAATAATTACTTTAAAAGTGCATCATAATGAACAAACAAGGGAATTATTGAATACCCGATACAAAACTCCGGGGGTTTAAATATCAAGATGACCTTAAATATGAAAAAAATACTCCTATAAATAATATTCAGGTCAATTACCAAAAATTTTAATTTTTCGGAACTAAAAGTGGATTTTTTCCAAGTCTTTGTGTAAAAAATATTTTATTATAAAGTAATTATATTCAAACATAAATTTTGTTAATATCATGAAACCAAATATATATTGAAATAATCTGTATACTTACTTTTGTGACGTAAATTTTGCACCTATTTAGCTTCACCTTAAATGAGAACTCAAATAACAAAAATATCCAGAAAAAAGTAGTGAATAATAATTATCATAATTGTTTTTAATAAATAAATGTGTTCCTCTTTTGTTTTTTGAAAAAATAATATCCTTTTTTTCAATAAAACCAATTATCAGTATTTCTGTATACTTATTTTTGTGCTTAACGGTATATAGATAGATTTAAACAATGTAGAGGACATTTCTTAGTATTTTATTATTATTATTCATGTTAACAATATCTTTTAAAATACAAGCACGTAGTAATCAAATGTCTCCTCATTCCGTATCCATTATTACAAGAAAATCAATCTGATACTTCATCTAGTCCAGAATACATGTTCGAAGATTGAATAGCCTAGAAAATAAAGAAAATAATTTGTTAATATTATAATTTTTTGTTATAATTGTTTGAAAAAATGTTTTTGAGAATTAAACTTCATTCTCACGGTGCATTTATTAGTCATTCAAGTGTTAATTTAAGGCGAATTCACAAACTCAATCAGCTGATTATTTTTTTCTTCACTTGACTGTTACGCGCTGATGTCAGAGTTTGTTATTGATTACATTTTTATATTTAATACTTCCGTTAAAACAGAGAAAAACTTCGTTAGTATTTTGAATAATTTATGGAAAAAAAAAAAAAATACGAAGCATTTTTTAAACAAATATTTTTCTTATAAAAATAATGAATAATCGAATGGCGAATACCGACCAATAGCAATACTAAGTTTTTTTCAAAAGTATTCGAGAAGGTGTTATTCAAACAAATGAGTATATACATATACGAAAATCGATTAATGACTGAAAAACAGTCTGGGTTTCGTTCCAATCACAGTTGTATAACATCTTTAGTCGACGTCTCTGAAAATATAAGACGTGAATTTGAGAGTGACAAAATTAACATTCTAGTATTGCTCTACCACTCTAAGGAATTTGATACAGTTAATCACAAAACTCTGTGTTCAAAATTGAAAACTTTCTTTAACTTTTCTAACACTTTTACGAAACTAATTTCATCGTATCTTTCGGGACGTACACAGTCCGTTTATGCTAATAACACCATTTCTACGCCTATTTTTAGAAGGGGAGTACCTCAAGGCTCGATTCTGGGACCACTATTGTTTTCAGTCTATGCCAATGATCTGCCTAATCAACTTTCCCACTGTAAAGTACATATGTACACTGAAAAAATTCCATGTCTAATATATACGAAAAATGTCGTACATTGTACGAAGTGTTTGATTATTCATACAAAATCTCTACAAGCTACTCCTGCCATTAATCTTATTATAAACAACCAAAAAATCTAAATTGTTCATAAAGTTAAAAATCTTGACATATTGTTTAACAATACCTTGACATGGTCGAGTAACATAGATACATTAGTTATTCAAATCTATGTTAAATTAAGAACACTATGGGTAACCCAATACTTTACACCCATCAGAGTAAGAAAACTCCGCACGAAAGCTTATTTAATATCAGGAATTCTATATAACAGTGAACTTTTTGGAAACTGCGACTATGTTAGTAGAAGAAAGCTTAAAATGCTCTACAACAATAATATTAGATATGTTGGTAATGGTGTCTGCAACTTCTCCACAGATTTATATGATGTTTCCTTTGAAAGCCTCTTAATATTCGTATTTTGGTGTTTTTACACAAAATTATTTATACAAAGGAACCCGAATACTTATATAACCATTTAACTTTCGCCAGATCAAGAAGAGGTAAACGGCTCATAACACCTTTGTATCGCTCTCTTACATCTGACTGGCAGTTCTTAACAAATCAATCACGTCTTTGAAATACTATTCCACCTAGCGCTCAACTTATAAACAACGCAACACATTTTAAGAAGTTTTTGTTTAGTTTGTTTTGTTAATTCTATGTTTTTTTGTTAAATGAATGTAATTCGATGTTTTTTTTTTGTTAAATAAATGTATTTTCTTATTCAATTTATGTATGTATCTTAAATAAATATTTACGCCCTTATTCACAAACAATATTTTTATTTTATAAAGAGTTTATAAAACAAAATTTCCATACAAAATCTAATTTATAAACTGTTTATAAAATAAAAATTTTGTTTGTGAATAAGGGGGTTAGTATTTAAACAATCTTGTTTGCAAGATTGTAGAAGGTAATGAAAACAACACACTTATACAAATAACAACAAAAATTTATTATATTATTAAGTAATGTGTTTACTAGTAGATTTGACCATCCACTCAACAGGAAGGCACTTCCGGTACTTGTAATAAGTCTGGACAATGATCTTCACTGTATGAGCTTCAGAAGTCTACTCTCATTCTACACAGCAATGTCGCTGCTTTTATACCAGAGAAGCTCAAGATTGCCATTTCATAGCACGCGTGATAGGGTAAGGAAATTCTGCTGACGCTAAGTTGATACATTAATTTAATTCTTCTTCTTTTTATAATGAGCAATATCAGTTGGTTTGCTCTCAACTTGAAAAAAAAAAATCAAATCAGTTGCTGATCAGCACTTGTCGAAGCAAGGTCTGTGCGCGACGTTTTTAAAATACACACAGAAATACAACAACAAAATTTTGAGAAAGACGAATTAATGTAGGAGAACATGAGAGAACAGTTGATAGTTTTTTATCCCTTTCAGGGTCAAAAATAATTTATGTCGAGAAAAAAACTTGAAAACTTATATTTAAGATAATTTGAGTATGCTGAATTCGGGAAAAATAATATTTTTTGATTTTGGATTTTCCCTAGTGAGTTATAGAAGGTCAAAGTTAAATGTCGAATATATTTGACATTCGAAAAACAGTCACCAAAAAGTACCACCAATATTTTTTATGAATATTGTTTTGTAAAATGTCTTCTTACACTTATATCAATACAATACAATTTAAATCTGTATAGTCCGATCTAGTAAAATACTATTTTTTTTGGCCATTAAATGAAGCTGTTTTTTATATATTGTTTAAAAGCACTTTTTAAAAAGTAATCATTAGTGACAATTTCTTAAAACCTGATTTTAAAATATTTTACAAATACGGAAGATCTTTCAAAAGCTCAATTATAAACATAATAAAGTCTTAATTTTCATCAAAAAGAAAAAAATTAAAACTAAAGTTAAAAATTATACTCAAAAAAAGCCTTGAAACATAGTCTATTGTAATGTCGAATATATTCGACAAAACCACGGAAAGGGTTATATATAGACTTTGATATACGCTGGCTGTCAAAATCCATATAAAATATATGACAGTTAGCATATACTTTATAGTTTGTAGTCATTTTATTAGTATACTTTTATTTTGAATTGAATTCTGTTCTCTGCTGCTTTACCAACACATATGGTAGTATGTGTTTGAGCACCACTGATTTATACCCTTATTCATACACAGTTGTCATTAATATGATGCGATCATTAACATAAACATAGTTGCATAAAAATGTAATGACAGTTGAATGATAGGGTTGTATTTCACAAAATCCGTTAAATTCAAAATTGTACGTTAAATTAAAATATTGGTCTGATTTTTAATAGTGTTGCATTCTACATAATCGTTAAGCTTTGAAATACTGTTTTAAATAAAGGAGTTATCAAAAATATTATATAAATAAACATGGCCTGTTACAGTATTTAGTATATTGTATCCCTAATTTAATATTATAACTTTTTGGCACATTTTATAACGTTTATATTACTCTACTGTAATTATAAGATATTATCTTGTTATACAGGAAATCAATCAATAAATAAATAAATAATTGGTTCGCATGTACCAACTTTATATATTTTTCTATTAAATGTTAACAAATTAAACAATATTGTTTTATATTTTATATTTACACTTCGTAGATAACGTGATTAACTAAAAAATTTCTGTTCCGGAATACTTTATATAAAAAAACCGAAATGAGGTATTTACCCGACCGGTGGAAGCTATCTTCTACGTTATGGTTAAATATTGAGATCAATTAAATTTTAATAAAGTGTTTTATATTTACACTGTGTAGATAACGTGATTAACTAATAAAGTTCTGTTCCGGAACGCTTTTAATAACAAAACCCATATGAGGTATTTACCCGTCCGGCGGCAGCTGATTACAACGTGCAAATCCTAAAAATTACTCCTAGAATTTTCCATATGCAACAAAGATTCATTCATTCGGAATATAATTTTTACATAAATTTACATTTTTATGTTTATTTTTCACAAAAATATTAATTTTACAATATTTTAGGCATAAACTTAAGTTTTGCAAATTAATCTGCCGGAGTAGAATTTTTCATTTGGAACAAACATTATTCCATTCAGGGTATATTATACACAAATTTTAATATTTTTATGTGTATTTTTTATAAAATACACATAAAAATATTAAAATTTCATTTTCATTGAATCTGCCAACACTATGAGCGAGTGAACGTGTTTTTTAGTTGCGATCAACTAAATTTTTTTTTTTTTATTGTAAAAATCAATTTTATTTTTATTAATACATATATATGTATGTAAAAGCAAAAAAAAAACTTTTAAATTATTAAATAAATCTCAATTCAAATAACTTTATAAAAAATTTTAAGAAACTAAAATAATTTTGTACATAATACTAAAACTGTGTGTGCTGTATATAAAAGGCAAGTGCATAATAGTATACATACAAAATAACAACAGTTAACTTTTTTATTTTATTACTGTCTCCCCTAAAGTCAGCCACTTAACTAAGCATAATAAGGAACACCACTTTATACTCTATTCTACAAATATGGCACCGGCTGCTAAATGTTAAATCTGCTCAAAAAATGTTACTCGATCTGATTCTTGTGTTGAGTGTGAGTCCTGTAAAGTCGGGTTTCATACTATCGGCCGTATTTATAAAAACTTATTTTAGGTTTATTAAACAATTTTAGGCAAAATTCAGGAAAATCGTATTTATAACGTGAAATAGCTTAAAACACCTTCAATAAACCATTGACAATTAGAAGAACTTTATTGTAGGCTCGACCCTTCTTTAAGCCAACAATAAGTTGATTTTTAACAATTTTTTTCTCAGATAAAGATTTTTCCGGTAATTTTAGGTTGATTGCGAAAACTAATTATGGTTTCTTTTAAAATAAAATCTAAAAATTCTAATTTTAACGTTTACAAATTTGTAAATAAAATCCCAGAAAATTTTTAAACGATTATATTTTGAGGAAAAGACTCAAATCTAGGCATTATTGGATTAATGCATGAATATTTGACAATATTCCAATTGTCCAGCACTATTTTTAGGCAATTTGGAAATGCCCGTTGTCAACCAAATGATGGACAAAATCATTTGATTTGGCTTTTTCAAAGTTTGTTGGTTAAATATAATGCCATAAAGT